CATCTAGGGGCGAGTGCCCGCTCGTTGGCATCACGATAATATTGCTATAACTTTGGAACTACTTGCTGTTTAAACCTCAAACTTACCCAAAAACTTCCTTAAATATTCGTCTATAAATGTGTATTTAAACAAACGTGAAAGTTCAAACATTATAACACAACATTTACATCTGAAAAAAATACCTCCGTAATTTTTATAAAAAAGTTTAAAAATCCGCCATTTTGTTTTTAATAAGTATTAAGAAATATGCTTAAACTCAGTTTCTTCAGAATAGTATCTAGTTTGTTGTGTAAAAATTTAAAATCAATCGATAATAAAATGTGTGAGATATAGCAAGTTTAATTTAAAATTTCGAAAAAATTTGCCGCTGTTAAAAATCAGGTTTTTTGGCATTTTCAACATGAAGGCATCAGTAAAATCTTGTTTAAAATTAAGGGTAAATGTATTTCTGTGTAAGCTATCGATTACAATTGGTTTCAACCGGTTACTTCGACCCAAACACCTCTCGGGATTTTTTGGTAATAATCCGCACGCCTAGAAACGCTATTAAAATCTGGCGGACGTTACAATTGGATCGTCGTGGAGCGCAACCGTCTGATGAGATGCTTTCATCCAGTGGTGTCGAACTATCTGCTGCGGTGGAGGGGGACGACCGATGCTGCGAAGAACCCTCTGAATTGGATTGTTGTTGAAGTGGAGAGGATGCACTACTCTCACCCATCGCTGCAGACCCCGATTCCGATGAGGTTTCTGTGTCTATAGAGTTTTGGTTTAGGAGAGCTAAGTCATCACCCCGTTCAGCTACATGTCGAATTCTTAACTGTTCTAGATTTTTATGATACGCGAATCGTCGTCCAGCTAAACTGCATATGATATGGGTCCATTTCTTGATTTCTTGGTTTACTTGGCCAAGAAACCAAGAAAACTTCAAGCCACTTCGAGAACGAATCTACAACGTTGAAGAAAATCTTACCTTGGAACGGGCCAGCAAAATCAACATGGAGGCGTGACCGTGGATTTTTTTGTTGTTTCCCACCAATGAACTGGCGCATGAGCATTGTCGTGACCAGTGTGACCGTTTTGATCCAAGTGGATCAAAAGTGATACATTTTTCGATGAATTTTGAAGAGATACTTCTTTTTCAATTTTGATACTTTTCCAAATACAAATGAACAAAATCTGTAAATTTGTCTGCATAACAAAACATGTCGTGCGCCTGTGGCAACGTACATCCAAAAGTTCATTGTCGTTCACTGAACGAAGTTTCATGTATTGTGATTCATGGTCCATGACGAAAAACGTCACAAAGTGAATAAACGAACAATATCATAGCATTGCACTTTTCTTCGCTATGTTCAATAACTTAAATTTGGGCTTGGTACTCGGTAATTCGGCGCTCGGTCAGGCCCTGTTTCCAAAGGAAAACGCCAATGTCGTGATAACCATGTCACAAAATATGTTTCCCATGGACACCGCCTATTTCTCATGGCCTGCAATATATGTCAGCGCTTATTGCTTGACATCTATTGCAGGCAATTTGATAGCTTGATAGCCATATTTTCACTTGAAAGAAAGCGTGCTGGTGGTAACATCGATGAAATATTAATATTAAATCAAAATAAGAATCTGTTCCCTATTAGATTATTTATGATAACGTTTTAGGAAGTTATTCATCAAGTTTTTTTAAGTTTTAAATGTTCTTAAACACCGAAATTGAGAGAATGTTGTCTGACTTGCAATCATACTGCTCGTCAAAATGACTGTTGGTAGGCCATCGGTGTTTGCCTGTGGAGTTTTGCGGTAAATTTTCCCCCATTTCTTTTGTTTGTGTAAAATTATTTTAGTATCGGTTTACCGGTTACCGTGGTGGGAGCTTGATAATTTTTCTAGTAGCTGGTAAACTGCAATCAGCTGTACGATATTCATCCAATTTTGAATCCACCCACTGCCGAAAGGCATAACGCATTGGAGTAAATAAAAGTCCTTTAATTTTTTGTTACAATTTATTTTTTTTTACAGAAAAAAAAGCTTCGAATCAGCTGTTGATAAACATACATAGTTTACCAGACTAAAGGTGTGGTTAAACGTGGCAATGCTAGCTCTTTTT